TGGAAACAGTGTTAAGTTAAAATTTACATGTAAAAAAAAATTACATGTAATGAATTTCTCTTTCTTTCACTTACGGCACGCGTTTTCAATGAACTCAACCTTCTTACAACTTCTATTTCTCATCAGTCCTCTGCAGACAAAGAGACAGAAACGGGTGGTATGGTGTGTCCATTTTACAGATTATATCCAAATGTGGTAAGAGACCTCACTCCCACCTTGTGAATATAATAGTGCAGGCAAGATTTGGTTTATTTATATAATGCAGCGTCAAACACAAATGATCGACCTCTCTTTGCACTGGGGAGTAATAAGATTTTCATCAAAGAGGGCTGTGGCTATAGAAATAATGCTTGAGGGCCTCCCCGGTGGCGCAGCAGTTGAGCGCTGGGCTGCGAAGCTGCCCGCAGCCTCTGCAGCGCCGGTTTGATCCCCGCTGCTCCCTGGCCACCGGAGGAGGGTCCCACATGGCACGCAGATCTCTCCTGCCGCCCTCTGCTCCCCTCAGCAGTGTACTTCGGTCCTTCTGCCTGCTCTGCTCCCCGCTCTGGCTCTGGTGAATTCTCTCACCCTCCTGCGCTTCTGACTGTACCCAGTGCTTGTATAAATAAATAAATAAATCTTTAAAAAAAAAAAAAAAAAAGAAATAATGCTTGAGTCAAAGTTTTTGGGCGATGAGACCCTTGAAAACATTTATTAATTTGCTAGTTTTAACGTTGCCACCGATGGAAAAATAACATTCCATTTTAGAGATGAAGTCGAGAAAGCTAAAGAAAAAAGTAGATTGGCTGGATTTAAAAGGAGGGAATAAAATCTAGGCTTTCTGCCTTTTCCCTCCCACCTCGTTGGGGTGTGGTTCTCCACGTGTTCTAGCCAGGCTGCAATGACTGATTAGTTTAACACTAAAGGGTGTCGGGTTCATCTAGAGAGCATGACCTCAGTATGTAAATTATTCAGCAATGAGGTTGATGTGACTATTTATAGGTCATAAATCAGTTATAAACTCAGAAATATGAGAACAGGTCCCTAAAAAGAAAGGCAATTGTTACCTATGCAGGCTTAATTTAAGTATGTAGGGTTGCACTCAGTCAAATTTCACATCTGAGTCCCTTAACAGTGAACTTTTGAAGAAGTGGATAGGACAGGTGCATTAATTATAGCAAGGGATGAGGAGCAAGCTCAGGTCTAACAAAATGGATTTCTACCACGCACAAGTTCCAAACAGTTGGTCACGGCTGCCCTATGCACTGTGTCTGAGGTCAAGTTCAGCTTCCGGGAAATTCACAGGTTCCAGACGTGCCATCCTGGTTTGGTTATGTCATCCGCTTTATCCATCAGCGACAGATGTTTCATGAAAGTGAATTCACTGGTTCACATGTCTTCAAAATTGTCCTGCTGAATCTTACACACTGATACATCTCCTGCAACCGATCAAGGAAAAAGAAACCAAAATTGCCTCCTTTCCAAGATTCTCAGAGCAATGATAAGTCATTTACAAGACCGAGATGATGAAGAAGAAATAAGAATACCCTGAAGTCCAGCTGTGACAAATCAGGTTGTTGACTGGATTTGGGGTAACTCCTGTGGCTCTCCTCTAGAGGGGGGAGTTCTCTGCTATGTCTAGGTTCTGAGACTCAGTCTGTACCCGTTCTTTTTTCTTTCATAGTATCTCTTTCACTCAGGATCCAGATGATTCAAGTGCATGTCTTATTTCACATCTTTCAGTGTGAAGAAATAACGGGTCTGAAGATATCCATTTGAGGTCATTTCTAAGTTATATGGTGGCCCAGTTCCTAAGTCTTTGGATAAAGCCCTAAACGAGTCCCCTTCCTTCAGGGCACAGCCCTTTCAAGGCTCTGACCGCTGCGATTATGAATCCTGCCGCTGTTTCTTCTCTCGTTCCTCTCTCTACATCCACATCAAACAAACAATCACTCCTAGACCTTCCTCTGGTCTCTGAAAAATCAGGTCATGTCCAGTTTGGATGCCAGGCACACCCCCATGGCTCTCTGTTCAGAACTGCACTCTCTTTACAGCTCCTTGGTTCATCATCCTACCTGCCACCTCCAGGTACACTCCCTTCAGGCTTCATTCTCTAGCTAGTTCCATAAACAGCCCTCCCACTCTTCTGGCTGGTCCTGGGAGCACAGACAGCCCCCCCCCCCCTTAGGTATTCTGATCCAGCTCGGAGGGCACCATTTCCCTTTTTTTTTTTTTTTTTTTTTTTTGGTGGGACCCTCACAGGCGGCCCGGGGATTGAACTGGCGCTGCAGAGGCTCAACCGCTGCGCCACCAGGGGAGGCCCACCATTTCCCTTTTTTCTAAAAGAATTCTTGCAGTCTCCATGGTGTCTTTCCTCTTACCCTTGGGTCTCATCTAAATGAGCGATAATTTACGTTTACTGAGAATTCATGTGCTAGAACCCATCCAAACCTCTACAAGTGTTATTGCATTAAATCCGAATCACAATTACCTTACTATCCCCATTTTACAGATGAGAAGATTGAGGCACTCCGAGTAATTGTCCAAAACCAGGTGGCAGATGGTGATTTGATTTTGGCAATCAGATTGTAATTTGTCATTTGATAAGTCAAAACCACATTTGCACAGCAAAAGCAGTTGCTATCTTGTCTGGGAAGTCTCCATTATTTACTTTCAAGTTCATGACAACCTTTTTTAATCCCCCTAATGATAAAAAAAAATGTTGATTACAGAGTTCTCTTTAAAAACAGCCTATGATTGCAGGGCGTGTTTGCTTTGTGAAAATTGACTGACATGTACACCTGTGATGTATGCACTTCTCTGTGTGAATGTTACACTTTAAAAGTTTATGTAAGAGAAACCCCCAAGCCCCTTATTCATATTTTAACTGAGAAAACACACCCCTGCATTACAATTTCCCAAGACTTTTGGGGGACATTAAATTTTGCAACAGTACCTGGTCAGATTTAAATGTTGGGGACTAGACATATATTGTGCTAGCCAGGCATGCTGTGCTTGACCCCGTGTGCTTTATGTGATACAGAGGTTGTAAAAAAACTTATTAGAACATTATTTCAATAAGGGGAGGAGAAGTTTATGTTATTGCAACCAACCTGCACCCTAACCGATTTAACTTGGAAGGTAGCGGGTTGCATACTACAGTTTAATGTTATTTTCATTGGGCTGGAATCCGAGATGTAATATGTTTATAACAAGGTTTCACTCATATAGGTATACTAATTAGTTCTTCAGATTCCCAGTTTTCAAAGGTCACAGAAAAGAATAATAAAATGATATGTATTTGTCCAATGTAATGCAATTTACTAAAGGCCAGTAATAACATTTATCCAGCATGTATGACATACATGATCTCATTTAACCTCCATGACAATTCTATGAAGTCATATGATCATTTCTGCACTTTGCACATCAGGAAGCTGTGGCTTACAATAGTGCATCTTTTGTCCAAGGTCAACCCAGGACTCCATGACCCGTGTTCCTGATTTCTCAAGAATAAGCCCCGCTACCTCTCATTAACAGCTTGGACCCTGTAACAATCCAGTGGATTAAGCGTTAACTGTTTTCCCCATTTTGAAGAAGGAAATAGGCCCAGAGAGATAAAGTGATTAGCTAGACATTTGCAGAGCCCAGACCCAAGCTCAGGTTCTCAGACTCCAAATCTGTATTGCCTTCCACTAGATAACAGCATTGCTTGGGCCCACAGTACAATTTATTTATGTTGATAATAGATAAACTAAAGGTGGAAATAACAAGATGATAAAATTCTTTCAACATCCCCAGTCTTGGAGGATCTCCCTGTGATAATTTTAGCAACTCAGCAGCCTGAAGGCAGACATTTCTAGGGCTCTAATTGTAACCAACTTAGTTTTTAACAACGGGGCCAGCCTGGCAGCCCCCCCATCTAAGCCAGTTACTTTTGGGAAAGGAATTAGCATCTGCTCCTGTGGTCTGTGGTGCACAGAGTCACACACAAGCAAATACACGCCTAAATCTAGCCACGGTGTTCGGTCGAGTCCAGCGGTTCTGAAAATTCTGAAACCCTCCCTCCATCCGTCATGCCATTTTACTTTCCTGCTCCCTGCCCCCACCTCGCGGAAGATATTTTGGCAATGTTTGGAGATATTTTTGGTTGTCAAACTGTGGAGATGATGCCATTGTGGGCAGAGGCCAGCGACGCTGCTAACAAACATCCTGCATGCACTCCTTCCACCCCCAGCCCCTGCAACAAAAAGTCACCTGGTCCAAAATGTCGACGGTGCCAAGGTTGAGAAGCTTACGTCTAGTTAATTCTATTAAACACACACACCTGAAGTTGTTTAGGATTACACTGACCTTGGAGATTATGGCCAAGCAATGAAACCTAACGTATACTCCAGAGAGTCAGCAGCTAATTCACAATGTTTATCTATTTGGAAGCTATACCGGACCCATTTCCAATGATGATTTTGGCTTACCATTAATGCACACACAAGACAGTGAAAGTGAAGAATTTTAAGAGATCAGTTAACTATTGAGACAGTGGGGAGAAAGAACGTACATTCAACTTCCGCTAGTCACTGGGGATTTTCTGTCATAATTCTTTAAAAATCACATTGATTTGGGGCCTCCCTGGTGGCGCAGTGGTTGAGCGCTGGGTTGCGAAGCTGCCCGCAGCCTCTGCAGCACCGGTTCGATCCCCGGCTGCTCCCCGGCCACCGGAGGAGGGTCCCACATGGCACGCAGACCTCTCCTGCCGCCCGCTGCTCCCCTCAGCAGTGTACTTTGGTCCTTCTGCCTGCTGTGCTCCCCGCTCTGGCTCTGGTGAATTCTCTCACCCTCCAGTGCTTCTGACTGTACCCAGCGCTTGTATAAATAAATAAATAAATCTTTTTTAAAAAAAAAAATGCAGACTTAAAAAAAAAAATCACATTGATTTGTCCCCTCTACTCATTTAAGCACTGTTTTGGTACAAGCCAGGTTTTCATTTATTCCAGACCAACAAGAATTGGAACAGAAGACTTGAGAAACTCCAGTGGTGACCTCCCTGCCTTCATGGAGAGGTAGGACCCTCAGGTTTTCAGAGTTCAAACCTTCTTAAGGTTGACCTTTTAAGAGACAAAGAGATTCCTTTTCAGTCTGAAGTAGGAAAAACATAGCGTGATTGAGCAAAGGAAGGGTGAGGGGGACTGAATAAGAAAGTTGCTCAATTAGTCCTTTGAGGGGAGGTGTTTCATTACTTTGTTTGAAATACTGCCCGATTCCAGAGCTTCATTCATAATCCTATACAAATGCAAGTGCAAAAATCCCTTGACACCCATGGATGTGGTATGTGCCATGCTACCACAAAACTGTCAAATAAGAAAACTCAGAAGAAACATTTTTATGTAGTCTCTACTATAATATATAATACCTCCATATAATACTACACTATGTAATAGCTCTATGATAAATTTCCCATATTCACAGTATCTGCACACTGCTCACAGGGAGCTAGATGTTTTTTTCTCATTTTTTTTAAATTGAGATATAATTGATGTATTTAATATTAGTTTCAGATGTACAACATGATTTGACCGTTTTGTCATTTTGAATGACTTTGTACATTATCCAATAGACCGTCAACGTTAATTGAATATCTAGACTCCAACCTCTCATCTTACACCAAAATAAAAACTATAGATGGTCCACTAGGTAAAGGTAAAACATAGAAACCGCAAAAATACAAGAAGAAAATTGTAGGTCTACTTCTGATCTTGGTCTTCTTAAAGCACGGGAGGCAGGGATACATAGGAAAACACTGATAGGTGTGACTACTTTTATAAAATTTCTATCTCCAATAGAATCTGACTTTCCCCTTTGCTTGACAGGGTTTTGATGGCTGTTGAATGTGGTTTTTGTTTGTTTTTTTATAGCTAGGTAGTAGGGGAGAAAATTCTAAGCTATTATGCACCTGCTATTATTAGTGTGTAATTTATGTCCAAAAGTTGAAGATTTACTTCGAAAGCGCTTCTGATGGTAAACTTCCAATTCTTCGACTTATTTCTGGGATTTTCACTAATTCATAATTTTTTTTTTTCTTTAGCACTTATGCCACTTAGCCTTTTCAACAATCACACCACGTATTTTCTGTATGTGTGAGAAAAACACCAGGGTTCAGAAAGCCCAAGTGCCTTGTCCAAGGCCACACAATTAGTGTCTGTGGACACGGGACATCGATGTGTACAGCTTGAGAAAGACCCACCAAAGTATATCACCTATCAGCCCCCACAACCTTGAATTACCCAGCGACATCTTGGATCCTATATTTTACATCTGCATGGACAAGATGATAGGACCCCAAGTATTTCCTTTTTTCAGAGTTTCCTCAGAAAATGAGTTTGCGGGTTATAAGATTCCCTTACTCGGTCCATGTGCCAGGCACCGTGACAAAGGCTTTGCAGGAATTCTCTCCGTCTTCTCAACTGCCCTACAAAGTAGGTATTAACACCTACTCTCGCAAAATAGGAAACTGAGGTTCTGAGAGATTATGAAACCGAGGCCCAAGGTGCCTCAGTTGAAAAGGTGTGACGTTTCTTAGGTGTCAGACTCCAGGTGGGTTTGGCTCTACCCCTCTCCACGGTTTGAGAGAGCGGAGGAGGCCAGAAGTGGAAACGTGGTCTATCAGTAAATCATAAGCTAGAGTGCTCTTCGTAATGTTTGATGGCTACGGATGGATATGAGACGATTCATTTGGTTAAAGTATTTTAATTTTACATAAATATCAAAAACATGATTTTGAATGTCGCCGATTTTGATTTATAAACATTTTAACAACCGAGCACCTCCTGGCACAAGAAGTTCAGTGACTCCTCAGCTTTGGGCTTCTAAAAGCTGGGGTCAGCAAACGACAGCCCAGTGTCCAATCCTGCCCACCTCCTGGTTCTGGGAGGCCTATGAGCTAAGCCTGTTTTCCCATTTTTCTAATGGTGGAATAAAAATCAAAAGGATATTTTCGTGACACACGAAAAGTACGTGGAATTCAAATGTCAAGGCCCATACATAAAAGCCGCATGAGAACACAGCCAGGCTCATTTATTTACATATTGTCTGTGACTGCTTTTGTGCTATAGCTGCATAGCTGAGAAGTGGTGACAGAGAACTGTAGGGTCTACAAGGCTAAGATATTTAACTATCTGGGCTTCCCTAGGAAAAAGTTTGCTGACCCCTCTTCTATAGCATTGACACATTCAGGCACCATCTAAGCTGCTAAATTTTTTTCCTACAAAATTCTGGAAAAATTTTTACTCCCCGCCCCCAGATAGAACACAAAAAGAAAAAAAAAAAAAATATATATATATATATATATATATATATATATATATATATATTGCTCTGGGGGGGAAAAAAAAAATTTAACAGGCTGGGCACAACCGAAATGGTTGCAGCGCCTAGTCAGTCGGGCTTGAAATGCTGCCTTCCCCACTCATCTTTTTAAATACATTAGAGTTATCTCTCAGATGGTTAAAGCTGGGTCTTGCTACCCAAGTTGTCCTTCCCTTATTCATCTTGACTGCGTTATGGGTTTAGTTTCACAACATTATGAGTTCATCCAGGCTTCTTGAATCATTTATAGGGATTTTCATTTCGCTCTCAAAACTCTTACACACTTTCTCCGCCGTGAATTTTTTTTTTTTTAACATAAAGCTCAGAGCACTAAATGGCCTACACATGTAAAACAAAGCCCATACTTTAAAATTTTTTTAAAGCTACTAGAAACCAGAATTTCTAAAAATTGGTTCTTCTTGAGAAACGCAACTTAATTTTGCAGGTCGCAGAAGTAAGAAAACCCCTTCATGGCTAATGATCTCAAAGCACCTCTGGTGGAAATACATAACAAGGTAAAAAAGAACGTCTATTTCTATTTTTAAATATCGTTTGTTTCTTGTCGGAAACACTATTTAATGGAAAAGATGTGACTAGTAACAAATAAGAGTCCAAGGCTATTTCTGGTTCTGCCAATGACTCACTTTGACTTTGGGCAAATCATCTCACCACTGTTGCTTTTTATCTGCAAAAACTGGACTTCATGCCTATGGGAGTTGCATGGCTAATCAATGCCTGAAAAATGCGTAGTGGCAGATGCTACAAAAGTGCTGAGCCTTAAAAACAAGACCACCCCCACCCCCCATTTGTATTCAGTCGAGGTTGGGGTTTATTGTTATTTAACATTCGAAGGCCGACACGACGTTAAGTCCAAGCGGGCTGCACAGAACAGATAATATCACTGTCCAGTAGGGACTGAAAAAGGGAAAAATTTAGGATTTTGGACTTTTCTTTATTGTGGCTGGGGGGTTATTTGACAGCCCACTAGGACCTCCGTACAAAAACATGAGCCTTTAAGTTGAAAACTACAAGAATTAAAAAAAAAAAAAAATCTAAATAATCCCCCTCCCCCCCCAAAAAAATTAAATAAATAAATAAATAAAAGAGAGGCCCTCCCCCGCCCCGCCAAGAAATGTCTCCAAACAAGAATTCTTCTGATTTTTTTTTTTTTTTTATCTCTCCCTCCCTCTTTCCTCTCTGCAGTTCTCCATGTTCCAGTCCTCGGAGGTAGAATAGGCATAAAATACTTTCACTAATAAAATATGACAAACCGCCGGCTTCTACGTGGCCGCTTCCCAGCGCCTGCCCTGCTACACAAAGCAGAAAAGTAAATGCCATCATCCCCCTTAGAACAAAAGAATTTAGGAATAAAAAACATGGAGAGGGGGGCGAGAAAGCGGCAATAAATAAAAGGTGAGCGAGGGACCCGGCCCCCCGCCCCTCCCCGGCGCGAGTGTGGGACTCAGTGCGGCTAATAAAGTGGTTCCAGGGTAGTTATTTGGCAGGGGGCGGGGCGGGGTGCGGGGCGCGGGGGGCGGCGCGAGCGCGGGGCCGGGATTGCATGTTGCACCCGACTTGAGGCTGCATCCTGCTCCGGTTGCCTGGACCACGCTCCCCCATTGCAGTGCTGCCCGCGGCCGCTCTCCGCTCGCGCCCGCCCGCGCGGCTCCGCTCGGCCCCTGCGAACTGCTGTGGCACCGGAGGGAGTTGGGGCCGCTCCGGAGCCCCCGCGCGGCGCCCGCCGGCGGGAGGGGGACGCGGGCGCGGGCCGCGGAGTTGGCGTGGGGGGGGGGTGGGGGGGCCCCGGCCTCGCCTCGCCTCGCCTCGGCCGCGGCCCCGGGGCGCCGAGCTGCGGCGCGGCCCGGGCCCGTCACTGCGGCGGCCCCGGAGTTCGGCGGCCGCCGCAGCCGCCGCCGCTCCGGGCTCGGCCCCGTCCCCGCGCCGCCGCGGCCGCGGCGCTGGAGTTTGGCTGGCGCTGCCCTACTTCACTCGAGTTTAGTTTCACTCACTTTACATCCGGGTTTTTTCCCTAGGCAATGGGCGCCGCAGCACACCCCGTTCCTTAGGCAAAGTGAAATAAATTCGCCGCACCGACACGTCAAGTAGTCCGCCCGCCCGAGCGCCGCCGCGGGCCCCCGCCGCCCCCCCCGCCGCCGCCCCGCCGCCCCCGGGGGCCCCCCGGGCGCCCCGCGAGGCGCGGGAGGCGGCGCGGGGGCCCGGGCCGGCCGCCGTACAACTCCGCCCGGCGGGGCCCCCCCTCTCTCTTCTCCTCTCCCCTCCCTCCCCGCCGAGCCCCTCTACCCCGGCGCCTCCCCGCTCCCCTCCCGCGTCCCCGCTTCCTCAGCCCCAGTCCCCCTCGCCCGGCTCGCGGGAGCGGCGGGGGCGCGCACGGCGGCGGCGGCGGCGGGCCGGCGGGGCCGCGCGGCGGGCTCCCGCGCGGGCGAGTGTGTCTGGGCCTGGGCGGAGGGATCCCCGGGCTGAGGCGGCGGAGGTGCTGCGGCCCGGGGCCGGGTGGTGAATGGGCTGGCGGTGCTCGCTGCTGCTGCCGAGAGGAGGAGGAGGAGGAGGATGAAGAGTTGGGCTTGTTTGTCTCCCACAGTTTCTCTCCTGCTGCTCTGAGCCGCCCCCCCCGCTCCGGCCCGGGGCCTGTGTGGGTCTCTCCTGGAGGAGGAGGAGGACCCGGGCCTCCCCCACCCCTCCTCCCCGCCCCCCCTTGCCTGGGGAAGAGGAGGAAAGAAACAGCCCAGAGAGAGAGAGAGAGAGAGTGAGAGAGAGAGAGAAGAGGAGAGGAGAGAGAGAGCGCGAGGGAGCGGGAGACGCGGGGGAGCGAGAGGAGGAGGAGGAGGAGGGAGAGGGACAACCTACCATCTTAACACACTAATATCTAAAAAGTGCGAGAGGCCCAGAGCAGCAGCAGAAGCAGCAGCAGCAGCTCCAGCGCCTTCCCTCCCTCCCCATGAAGAAGAGTTCCCTCCTCCTCCTCCTCCTGCTTCTCCTGCTCAGAGTTCCTGCCTCCAGCTGCCAGGGGGGACAGCCAGCCAGCAGCAGGAGGGTGCAGTATCCCAGCTTTTCCGTTCTCTCTTCTCACTCTCTCTCTCTCCCTCTCTCTCTCTCTCTCTTTTTCTGGAGTAGCTCCCTCTCCCCTCCCTCCCTCCCTCCCTCTGTCTTGTCTCTGGTGTTTGTCTCGGGGAGGACCCGGGGCTGCCTGCTCGGAGTTTGTTGTGGGGGGAGGTAGGGGAGGGGAGGGGTGTGTGGGAGGGAGGAGGGACGGGGGGTGCTCTTGTCAGGACCCCGCAGTCAACTTGAGATTTGAGCAATAACTTCCCCTTCGGGGCGCCCCCCTGCGTGCCCTTCCTCGGCCTCCCCCCCTGAGAAAAAGACAATGGAGAAAGCTCGTCTCCCCCCTTCCTCCCCTCTGCCCTCGCCCCTCCCCGCGGTAAATTGGAAGTAAGTTTAGGAGCAGCCCCGGGAGCCTGGACGCGGCGCGCGGCCCGCGGGTGACAGGGCGGCGCGCCGGGGGCGGCGGGAGGGGCGGCGCAGCGGCCCGGCGGGGGCCGGGGCCGGGCGGGGGCGGGGGCCGGGGCCCGGCCGCCCCCCCACCCCGCGGCCCCCCTCGGCCCGGGCGCGGCGCCGGGGCTCCTGCCCCCTCCCCCCGGGATGCTGTCGGGGGGAAGTTTTCATTATGATTATTTATTAATTTTTTTTTTTTTTTTGGAAAACCATCTTGTTTGGTGACTGAGGGATCTGGTTAAAAAAAAAAAAAAAAAAAAAGCTGCGGCTGCTGACGCTGCCGGGCCGAGCGAGCGAGCGTGTGTGTGTGTGTGTGTGTGTGTGTGTGTGTGTGTGTGTGTTGGTGCATTTGTCTTGGGTGGCCAGAGCGGCGTTGGGGAAATTCCGCTTATTCTTCTTCTTCTGCAACTTGTTATTCCGGAGAGTCAGCCTGCACCCCTCACCCCGGGGCCGGCCCTCCCGCGCCCGCCCCCGCCGCCGCCGCCGGCCGGGGGGCGCCCCCGGGACCCCGCGCGGGCCGGGCCGGCCAGGCCGCTCCGAGGGGGCCGCCGCCCCTCCCCCGCCCGCGCCCCCGCCGGGGAGGGGGAGGGGCGCGCGGAGTGGGACTCTTTCCGTTTGGTCCAGCCCCGCCGTGCACGCAGTTCCCAACACTTCTCGTCATCCCCTCCCGGCTCTTTATTCTGCCGAGCGCCGCTGTTAGGATTTCTTTTTTCCCCCTGACCACGTTCGCGATGGTGGGTAGCGGCGAGGTGGCCCCGGCAGGGGAGGGGTGGAGACCGAGATGGGGCCCCCGGGGGCAGCCTGTCTCCTTTCAACTTTGTCTGTGGCTTGCACCCCCACCCCACCCCCCTCCGAGAAGGCCACACGCCGGTTGTGGGGTGCAGATGTGCCGGGAGTGATTTCTAAGTAGTTGAGTTGTGGAGATGAGGGCACGGCGGCTCGGGGTAGGCAGGTTTTGTTTTCATTGGTGAATCTGGTGTCATCATATTCCGGTCATATGTTGAAATATTCTTTGTTTAGGTCTTGAAGTAGAGGATCTCACTCTGCACGTCCACATTGTGTTGTTTTTAAATGATGTCTCTGCAAGTATGGCTTTCTAGAATTCCTAATGGGAGTTAAGGTCCGGGCGAGTGTGGGCCTCAGCACTGGCCTTGACAGTGAACTTTGTGGCTGTGTTTTGGGTTTCAAAGATTTGCCCCATAGCGAGGTGGTTGGGGGGCGGGGGGAGGCGGGTCGAGCTGTGCATTTTTGTTAGTACGAGGTGTCAGGAATGTAGATGCTTGAGCTGGGCACGTTAGAGAGGGAAGAACATTTATATATAAATAATTGATAGCTGAATATTAGAACCAGATTAATTTGGGCTGGTGAAAGTTTTTTTTTTTTTAAAGCAGTTTTTTTTTTTTTTTTTTTTTTTTTTTAAAGCAGCACTCTAGGAAGAAAGCCTTTTTCTTTTCGTAACACACTTTATAGGGGTTCTTTAGGGCTGGGAGCTGGACTTTCCTTTTGGAGAGAGGGTGCTCATCAACATCTGTAGCTTCATTAAGGGCTTGATTTGGGGACTGAAATTGGGGTTAAGGCATCTGAGCGTGCTTTTCAGTGTTTGTGTTGTTTGTTTTCATCTGGTGTTCACTTACTTTTGGGGCAGTAGAAAGAAATAGGTCAACTTTTCTTTTGAATTTTGAAGACTAGCCCCTTCCCCCTTTTTTTTTTTTTTAAGTTTCACAATTTACTTGGTTTCACAGCATTGTAGGAAACTGTTAACTACATTTTTACTGGAAATACTGTTACTCATTTTGATTTTGGTAAGTTCCATTCTCTTTTTTTCAGTCTTCACTTGCATATGGAATCTACATTGTTGACTTAAAACGAGCTTATTTGGGGTCATTTAAAATGTCTGAAGAATGCACTTTAAAATCTCAGGACATGTCTTTTGAGGGCAAAGTAGTAATTTTTGTGTGCAATCATATTCATGTTTATGAATTTTTTTTTCTGTACTTAAAATTCTGTAGATGCATAATTATCTAAAGTGGAGAGCATAGTAATAGTGCAGAAAATTCTCAAAGCAAACTTCTGCAGAAAGTGTTAAAAAATATTCCAGATACTTTTTCTGTCAGACTTTTGCTTTTGTTAACATAATAGTGTTTGCAATATGACTGACATGGCTTGGATGGAAAAATATTTTGCTTGAATGCGTTTGAGGGCTTTTTAATTTAGCTTTTAGATAATTTTGCAAGCTTTACACACACTGCACTTTAGACTAAGGCAGGTCTTTATGGAACTGGAGGAGTAAGAGATTAAAAAGACTTCTACCTATGCCAGATTTTTATTTTTAAGAGGCACAAGTGATGGATGGGGCTCTATTTCTTTTAGCTTTGAAGGGTCAGTCCTTTTTTTCTATTCAATCATCTGGAAGGAGCTGCCTCAGAAATACTCTTCTTCTGCTTACATGAAGAGCTCTAAATGCTATCCAGCAGGAGGTGCTACAACTAGATAAAGCAAATCTCTGAATTTTGAGGGTCTTGCTGTTTGTTACAGCTCTACTTAGCTTCAGCTAAGCAACAGGATTAACAACTTAAAAGTTCCAGAAAGATTTTCAGTAAGTCCATTTAAAAATTCCATTAATGAACTGCTTTGCTGTTTGAAATCTTTGACTACTATACAAAGTAGATTTGTTATGTGGATAGCTTTTCAGGATGCTGTGCTAAGGTATAGAGGGTTGTTACTTTATTTTTAAGGGGAGTTAGTCTAGTATTGGTAA